GGAATGCCTGACACTTATTAAGTGGTCTAGTGCTCACCTAATTCAAAGACTAGAGAATGAAGGGAAAAAGATGAATGTTGAAAATAGCTTTTTTTTTTTTTTTTTAACAAGTAGCACTTGTCATGCTTTGCAGACTTTTGAAGGCAACACCAACTATGACACGCCTGAACTCCGGACTTTTGAACCTGTATCAACAAGATTCATCCGTGTCTACCCAGAGAGAGCCACACACGGAGGACTGGGGCTGCGAATGGAGCTGCTGGGCTGTGAACTTGAAGGTAATTGCTCTGCTAGAGATGAATGCACTTTATTATTTTCATAAATACATTCTCCACTTGGACTACTGCTGAATACTGCTGTGTCTGTACATTCAGCACGTCGGACTCTTGCGTCCATGACTGCCATTAGTGCTGTTTCTTGGCCTAATCAGTTCCTTCTCTGCAGACATTTGAATATGCCCAAGGCACAAATATTATTCTTTCTCCCATTCCTTTGTTGAATCACAGTGATATTCTCCACATGGTTTTCCGTTCCCTTAAGCAGCCTTATGATTATACTTTTGAGAAGCATAGAGCTATTAGGAGATAATAAAGACAGGAACTTATATTTTATGTTACTGTGATACAACCCTAGAAGAGATGTTTTCAGATAATGCAGAGGGAGCCTTGCACTAAATATAGCAATTATGTCCCTTGTTCCTTCAAAGGACATGAAAGTCACACCAGACTCTATGGTGGGCAATGATTACTTGGCTGGACAGGCTCTGTGCTATTCCTTCTGGGGGGCAGAAGGGGCCTCTTTGTTCCTTACCAAGCTTTTTGCAATTTTACAAAAGTATGTAGGAGATGAAAGACCAGGAAAAGCAAAGTTTAGACATTTATCCTTGGACTGTGACATGAAGTCAAGCTTTGATTCTTGTTATATAAACAATAATTACTTAACTTCATAGATAACTACAGATAACTCTATGTGATTTTCACAATTTTATCTGATGGGTGATGGTGTAGTGGCATGGCTTATAAACCACATAGCCCAACAATATACAGAATAACAAACCATGTTATTCAGGGTTTCATACGATACCTCATATAGAAGTAGATGAACAGGCTCCCAAGATGAATGGAACCGACTGCTCTGCCTCCATTTCTTTCTCACCATTTCTCCCCCAAGGCAGAAGAGTGGGAGGCACTTGCTGTGAGAACTGATGAGTTCTGTGTTGTTTTTTAGTGAAGGCCAGATTGAATAAATGTGCTTTTTACTTGGCCCGGAAAGTGGGGAGATTGGAAATACTTCTTAGTTCCTGTAGGAAGTTCTCATTTCCTGTGGGAATACTTAGTTCCTGCAGACTATTGTGCTACTTGCTCAGAAAAAAGAAAACCCAGCACCTGCCTCATGTAAACTCACAACCTGTGGGCAACGTGCTGCAGCCACAAGGCTCCTTTAGCCACCTAGACATCAAGAAGTGAGTCTGTGGACCACCTTACAAGAACACGCTGCTCAGTGAAATGGAGGAGGCAAAGAGGAGACTGGCCAGGCAAAATGCCTTTGCTTTTAGGCAAGCTGCAGCAGCATGTACAACTTCTCCCTGGGACGCATCTACTTGCATTTGTCTTTCTGCTGTGGTGTGCTTTTGAAGGGTGCTCACCTGTAGGTCACCCAGAGACAGGGGAGGTCAATTCCCATTTACCTCTGGGAGAAGCATTATAATAAAACTTAGTTGTAAGCTGCATCTTAAGGAGAGAGCTGAATGAAGAGAAGTCACTTGAGATTTACCAAGAAGGAAAGGAGTTGAGATGAGAAAAGAAGCATGGAGGTAGGCACAGACAGGAGTAGAAATCAGCTCTCCAGCAGTAATGAGCAAGGGGAAGCTTTGTGTGCTCAAAGCATCTGAGGGGGCTTATATGAAATGATGGCAGAGATGTAGGCAAGCTTGAGGCTATACAGGGGCATGAAGATCAAGGTAAGAAACTTAACTCGATGTAGAAAGCTAGAGGGAGTTCCCAGAGGGGTTTTTGAAGAGATGTGGGGAAGAAACTCTCTGCATAATTCATAATAGGTACAGAAATGTTCCTTCAACTAGGGCTAGATTTTACCTGTAAAGCATAGGTCAGGGTCCTAAAGAGCCGTATTTCATCCCAGAATATAGCTACTTCAGAAACTACCATTCCTCCTGACATTTTCAGGCCAAGAAGTCAGTGCATAAGATCTTATGTGGCCAGCAGGCTCTGGAGGCAGTAGAAGGGCAAAGAAGAATCCGAGAAAGGGATGCAGTATTGCATCTCTCATAATGAGAGCAAAACATTGTTAATGAAAATAACAGAGGGTGAGAACAGACAAAAGCCTGGACCACATTCCCAGTCTGGTTATCTTAAGCCAGGGAACTATACTTGCAGCATAAAACATAAAACTAAACATAACACCCAGTATCTGCATTCTGATTTCCCAGATGTGGTATGTTTTGCAGACACTGGGCTATAGATGTATTTTCTGGCACCTTGCACAAATCTCAAGCTTTTAACTGTAATAACAAAGGTCAGACTTTTACTGGTTATGCAGCAGCTACCGGAAAGTCATCACCAATGAGAAGCAAGCAGGTGGCCAGGAGGGGTGACTGACATCATTGATGTCTTATTTATAACTTCAACAAAAACAAAAGAGACTCCTTCCAGATCTTCTCATTGAGCACAAAGTGATTCTACATCACACTGCCTTCCTGCCGCTGTTACCAGGACTCTGCTCAGACATTTCCTCCCTTACATATGCTCTGCAGAGAGATTTCTTCAGCAATGTGGTGGGTGCTGGAGAATTACCACCTTGAGCATGCACCCCTCCTGCTCCTCTGTACAGGCCCACTCACAGGCACTTTGGCCTGCAATAAAATGATGGGGTTTCTACCCCTCCCCAAGCCTCCTGTTCTGCCTTGCCAGGCTTTCACTCTTCGTTGGTAGGAACAACAAACACTCATCAGCCGGTGAATAGACAATCCGGAGCTTTGCTGTCCAGCTCCGCTCAGCCCTTGAGGAGCTCAGATACAGCTGAGTCCCTTGGCACCAGGAGGCAGAAGAGATACGTCCCATTGCAAAGTAATACTAACTAACCTGCAAAGTAGAGTTGCTCCTTTCCTCAGATAAAACACATGAAGACAGCATATGGTGCTCATCAGAATGTGACTGCCAATTGCATGCTGATTCTGCAGCATGTTTTAACTGAACGATGGGGTTTTGTTTCAGCTCCGACGGCTGTCCCTACCATTTCCGAAGGCAAACCTGTGGATGAGTGTGATGATGACCAGGCAAACTGTCACAGTGGCACAGGTGATGACTACCAACTGACAGGTGCAGAAACCATCCTCATTCCATTGCAGCTTCATTGTAGCTCATATCCATCACCAGTTACCAGCTAAACGTTTGCACTGATTTAGTCACTCAACATAAATGGACATTGGTATGCAGTTCGTATTGTCAGTGCTGTCAAAACACAGGCATCTGCCTTTTACATATGACAATACTTTTGATTGTTTTCTCAGCTATGTAATTTTTGAAGCAAATAATAATGACAAGCTGGAAGAGAGGGCACTTTTTCTGAGCAGGAATTGTTTCTAATCAAATGTCCTAATCAAACTTTCTCTAATTAAGAAAAAAGCTGGACAAATCTTTTGAGATTTATTGTCTGACACTGAAGGTCTCAAAATGAAATATTGTTTAGGTTCAAGATACTTATATACTTCCATAACTAAAATCTAGTATAGGACTCAAAACTCAGCCCCAAACCTTTCCCAGACAGAAACAAAGCAGATTTGTTTGATCAAAGCATACTCACATATATACCACCAGAAACATTTCCATGAGCTTCCCCACCAACACTGCATTACAGCCTCAGAGGCACTGATGTTCTCCAAGTTGCCATCACTAGCAGAAAAATAAGAGGGAGAGACATAACAGTCTGCACCTGGAACGGAGGAAGCTTGGTAGTTGCCATATTCTCCCACTTTCGCAGAGAACCACTGTCGTTCTGAGAGCTGACACTGCACCACCGGTTTTGCTCTCTTCTTGGAGGTCACTTGCTCCACAAAGTTCTGGGACTGTTTGATGAGATCTTCCTGTAGTGGATCTATACATCTACAGTAACTGAGCTTATTTTTGGACACAGTGTCACAAGTTATTTCATTGCTGCTCCCTGGTGTGCTTATCTAATAAATGTTTATTGCTTCTTATATCCATGATATAAAATAGCATTAAAATCTGACAACAGCTGTTCAAGAGGACATTGGGAAACCTTAGGTAAGAGATTGGCTTTTGGAAGCAGCCAAGTAGAACATTCATAAATCTTAAAGGGGCAGGGCAGGCCATCCCCATGTGCCAAAAGATGAGCCAGTGGGGAAGAAGACTGGCCTGGCTGAACAGAGAGCTTTGGCTGGAACTCAGGAAAAAAAGGAGACTTTATGAGCTTTGGAAGAAGGGGCAGGCAACGCAGGAGGACTACAAGGATGTCATGAGGTTATGCAGGGAGAAAACTGGAAGGGCGAAAGCCCAACTAGAACTTAATCTGGCTACTGCCATAAAAAAACAATAACAAAAGTTTCTATAAATGCATTAGCAACACAAGGAGGGCTAAGGAGAATCTCCATCCTTTATTGGATATGGGGGAAACACAGTGACAAAGGATCAGAAAAAGGCTGAGGTACATAATGCCGTCTTTACCTCAGTTTTTAATAGTAAGAACAG